TGGTGTTGACGTAGGGTGGGTGTCTTTATGACAGACCATTTCTCCTTAAAAACATTGAGTTTTACTCTACTAAACGTTCTTACTACAATTTCAAAATATGGATGCACTTGTCTGGATGAACACTTAACAAGGCCTACACAATGGTGCATTCTTTATAGAGCCTTGTAATGAAAAGCAATAGTATAATTCTAGAACCAATTAACTCTTTAATATGATTACCTCATTCATTTGATTTACCAAAGCATCAAATTTCAGCACTGTGATACAAACATAATGATTCATTTTTAAGCATCAAACAAAAGTAACTAGGAGAACATAAAATAAATGTATCTCGTCAAAGCTAACTAAAAAGAGATCACAACATAAATAAGATGTCCTATGTGCTTCCAACTTCCAAGAGATTTTTTTGGTTATAATTAAGCATATAGTTGAGATATACTTGGGGTGGTGCATCATAGTTAGGTTATAACTTTTAAGACTCAAAGTGTGAGCCTTTGGTTGAGAAGGTTTATTCAGATCTAGATCAAAATAGCAGAGTGAACCAGAATTTCTAGGTGGTGAGGTTACTGGTTCCCATTTCAAAATTTTACTGAATATCAAATCTGTAAAAACATGCAGATTTGCATCTGAAAGGAGATGTTTCCTATAAAGCAATGCCCGTGCTTTAGAACAACAAGATGGAAGGTAGACAGCAGCAGCATATATTGCTGCATCACCAGAATCAAATATATAGATGGGTTGCGAAGATTAAGTGTAATTACTATATAACTTTAAAACATATATCAATTTTAGTTGCTATTCGGAACAATTCAAAACAGTAGTATGTACAAATTCACATCATGTACCTGATGAACTTGTCATTACATAATCACCGAGTTACTTAATAGTATAAACAATTGTTTATAGGAAAAGCATTCACCTTGATACAAAATGTAAGAAAGCTTTCAACTTATATATATATATATATATAATAATATATATATATATATATATATATTAAATATGAGAGAAATATGGGTATGCTTGGTACCAAGCACAAATTTTGTGCTTGGTAGATGTGTCACATCCACATCCACTCATTACCATGTAAATTTGTTCCCATATTTGAGATGAGTGTAGGAGGATTTGACACCTCACTCACCAAGCACAAGCTTTTTGTGCTTGGTAACCAAGCATACCCATATTTTCTCTTCTCTCTCTCTCTCTCTCTCTCTCTATATATATATATATATATATATATATATATATTATATATATATATAAGATATATAGCAAAGTAACACTAATACGAATAACAGAATTAATTGCGCAAGTACCTCTTGGCGACTGTCTGGTCCACATTGAGTTTTATAAGCATTAGTTCATCTTCTACTTGTGGCTCCTTTGACAAATCTTCAACCTATGTAGTACATGAGAACCGCACAGTGCATGAATTGAAGAACAAATCCCCGATAGAAATACAAGTACAAATCAAAGTTTCTCAAATGGAGTGCAACGTAATTTATACATATAGTGACATTCTATGTAGGATAGGTACTACTGTGGTGAAGCCATATCCATGTGGATACACTCATACACCCATATCCAAGAAAGTAGAAAGATGAAAAGCAAAGGTTTATTCCTTTTGCACAGTCATAAAATATATGATGGGCCAATATTTTAGTTATATGCAATAATTATTTCTATTATCAGGAATACTTTTGGGTGGACGAATCAGTCTAAATATGCGTATATACATGAGCTTGCTCCTTTTTTTCGTTAATACATATTCTGGTTTGGCGTTGTCATGTCTCTACATCCATAGCGTCCAAGTATCCACGGGGCCATAACCCATGCAACTCAGACAATACTTACTATTGCAAACAGTAGATATGCCTTATTTTGCAGACGGCATCCACATGTCCACACGTACAAATCATAATAAAGCATCCTTTCTGCGCAGCACATATAGGCTGACTTCAAAATTTTTTATGTCAATTGACTATAGCCCCTACACTGAGACCTCTAAGTCCAAAAATTATGAAACTCTACCTAGATTTGATCAAAGTGCAGGTACAATATTCTAACGCATGGAGCTACCTTTATAACATTAACAAGCTTATTAAGCTGCTCTACAACTTGTTGCAGCACTCGTTCAGTTCCTGAGACAACTATTGTGAACAAGGCCTTGTCCTTGTTCAAGCCAACTGCAAGTGACTCGATGTTGTATCCTCTTCTAGCAAATACCCCAGCAATTCTATTGATCATTCCACTTTCATCTCCAACAAATACAGAAATCGTATGGCGTTTGGCCCTGCATTCGTTAGAAATAAAAATGTCAAAGAGTTATAAAATATTGCCGACCGAAACAATGACGAAGCATAATTTCATAGAGAATCAAGGGAACAAGCAGGATACGGAGCAAAAGCGGGTAAACGTGGAATAAGATTTTAGACAGGTAATAAGACTAGAAATGAGGTCGGAGATTAAGTTATATTAAATAAACCATACTCATTGCTTGAGGCTAGTAGCAGAAGGGCAAGGAGAGCAATTTAGTAGCTACCGAGTGAAAAATTACATACGCGTTGAGAAAAAATTAAATAAAAACCAAAGGAAAGGCAAAATACCCTGACGTGTCCCTTCGTGGAGAACATAGTGTGACTCAGATAATAATATCAACAACAACAATTAATTAACAATGGCTTGGTTTATTAGCCTATCAACCGTAAACTTGAAAGGAAGAGAGAAAGGGCTTACAGATTTCTGGGCCGCCCCGGGGGAGGCGTTTCACCCAGAGACACAGCTGGAGACTCATTGCTGCTGCTGCTGCTGCTAGCATGTACGCCGACCAGAGTAGCCGTCCTCCTCCTCCTTTGATTTTGATGTTTGGGCCCCGACAGAGAGGCCCTCGTCAGGTCTAGGGTTCTCGGTAGCCCCCTGCTTTGACGATGGGATCGCAATGATGGAGATCTCGTCGCTGTTGGGTGCGATGACACCGTGTGAACGGGAGCTGACGCCATTTTCTCGCAGGAGGAGGGCCCCGTTCTGCGAGGGGGGAGGAGGGAGAGAGAGGCGGAGCGGCGGAGAGCGTGCACATAGATATTTGGGTGGTTTATTTAGGAGATCCATTGGGGGGTTGTTTCCGTAATTTTCGCCCTCCTTAATTAATTTAATTTTATTATATAATATAATAATATATAATAATACATAATAATAATAATAATAATTAAAATAAAAAGGGGCATAGAAAATCATTTACTTCTTCCATCTCTCTATAGGCGCCGTTGCAAAAAAATCTCTCTAATATATAAGAAGAGACTAATACGAAGAAGCAGGAGAAGGAACAACCCTACCCGCTCGAACTGCAGCACCAAGGAACGACGAACTATATTGGATCTCCCCTCCTTACCCCCGCCCCGCGCGGCGTCTGTGCTGAGTTGCGTTTCCCCCCTGCGACTCGCGATCTCTCGGCCAGTCACCTCCCACGCTCTCTCACTTTCATTGCCTCACTAACAATTTAATTTTCTCTTCTATTTCCCTTTTCTCCTTCTCTCTTACTTTTTATCCCTTTTCTGGACTTTTGAACAGTTTACTTTTTTCTGATGTTTGACGACAAGGTAATGGAAATATGCCTTAGACTCTACTTGCAGTGAGTTTTTAACTATCGGTGTAAACCTTATTTTAGTTTAGTTGTCATTATATATATATATATATATATATTATATATAATATATATATATATACTTATATATAATATATATAATATATATATATATATATATATATTATATTAATATATATATTGAGAAAAAGGGTAGTTTATCTAAGTCACATTATTGCTATAGTGAGTTTCTCAATTCCCATCCCTCATTCAATGGTCACATTCAACCCATTGGAAGTCCGTCCCCTTATTTGAACGAGTGTTATTACATATTCATACTCACTCACCAAACATAAATTTATAGCTTGTACCAAAGCATACCCATATTCCTCTCTCCTCTCTCTATATATATATTATATATATTATATATATATATTATTATAATAATAGCAGAGAAGAGATTTTTATATATTATAGCAAACTCTATCAACTTAATTCTATCTCAAATTTCAGCCACATACCATAATATAAAACACCTTTTTCTATATAATCAGGGAATCCCTAGTCAATAGAGTGTGTCTAAAAACGGGTGAAACACTATTTGCTATCCACTTAATTTGATGATTTCACCTAATATAATATATATATATTATATATATATATATTATATACTATTATATATATACGAATTATATAAAGGATGAGAGAGAACTAGTTCATACACATGCAATACACACGTAGTTAAATATCATGATTAAGTTGTTTTGACTTATTTTCTAACTAAAATTTATTTCTCAGTTTCACTTTAATAGTTTGTACTCACTTTTATCTCTAAACTTTAATATTGCGATTATATAATTTCTTTGATGTTTGTTTAAATGGGCTACATCTAATTTAAATTTTTATGTTGATATTTGAATTGACAAAAAATAAATATAATTTGAATTTTTATATTATTTTGACTTACATGAAACCAAGCTTTACTTGAGAAAGTACAATATTATAAAAATAAAAAATATTTAAATAGTGTTCTACAAGGAATGTGAATATTTAAAATCAAAAAGGTAAAATGATTGATTAAAAGTATGCTAAAACGATACAAAAGAGAATATAAAGGTTGTTCCTAATCATTGCTAGACTTTATAAAAAATTATAAATTAAAGATTAATGTTAACTCTAGTATATTTTTATATGATAAAAGTATCCACATAAGCATATAAAAGTACTGAAAAAAATTCATGAAACTTCCTTCTAAAGATTCCTAATTTTATTAAAAATAATTAAACTATTCTATAAAATATTAAGAAAATATTATCATTTATTCTTTCTATTTTTATTTTTTATTGAACTAAGATCAATCCTTCTTCATCTTTATCTTTATCCCAGATAATTCTTGAGTAGTGTCTTTATCATCTACATCGATTGTGAGATCAGGCTGGAGTTGTATTTTTTGTGATGTTATCTTTCCTGGTCTCGTTAATCTTTTATCTTGACGTTTAACTTCACAAAAAAGTTAAATACATTTTTGATGTTCAACACAAACTTCTTGAAATACAGACTTTAATTTTTTTCTATTTCAATGAGAATAAATGTTAATTTTATATATATGAAATTCTTTGTGTTCCTAATTTATTACTTAAATAAGATTAGGAGCTATATTTTTTTCTCTACAATGAATTCTTCTAAGGTGCATCCAATAAGAGTTTCTGTTATATTAATAATATTATATTTGCTCTATCACTGTCATTTTCCACAAAGATTAAACTAAATACTTGTATTTTTATTGCCAATTTGTCTTAGATTATAATATTAATATTTAATTTCTTTAGTATTTGAAGAACAAAATATAAAATTTATGAATACTTACTAATTTTTCTTATATCTTCCATGGAGAATTCTTTTTTGATTAGGATAAAGTTAAATTATTCTTCAATGTAACTCAGCTAGTATTTCTTTAATAGATATGCCTTTTATTAATGTCAATTCAAATGATTCATGGACGTTTTCTGAATTTTAGATTTATTTCTATCAATTTTCCATTTGCAACGGAAATAACTTGATTCTTTTGAAGGATATCTCTGAATATTTTGATAGTTTCTCCATACATAATTTATTGTATTCTTTTACCTTATACATATTATTAACATTAGAGAATAATGTTTCTAAATTATAACCAATTATGCTAAGCTATTATATTACAAACTTATATGATTTTTATGGATTTAAACATCTATCAACTAATGTTACTAATGTATTTTTGCCGCTCCAACTTATTAGTAAAATTATACGCATTTACTTTGATTTATATAGTAACAATAATTTTTAATCTATAATGTTTTTTAAATTTTTATTCATTAACTGGTTGTTTTTAGTCAATTCTTATTGTTTTTGTTTACCAATATCAACTTAGACTATTTTTAGATGTTGAAAAGGGTTACTAAACCCTAAATTAGAATATATATATCTTAATGAAAGAATACCTAACAATTATATTTTTTTCCAAGTTTTAAAATTTTAGTCCTTTTTGTAGTTTTGAACTTTGAGGGTGTAATTTATAGTTTTTAAAACTTTGGGAGTGTTTTAAAAAAAAACTTTTAAGTTTGGTAGTTGTAACTTTTATGTTTCAGGTGTCGGTGATAATTTTTAAATATAAGGATATTTCTTGTAACTTTAAAATTTTGAGAGTACATTTTGCAATTATTAAAAGTGTAGATTAAATTTTGAAAAATTCAAATTTTAGTGGTCTACCAATAGTTTCCAGATTTGATATGTATTGGTTATAAATTTTGAGAATTAGAGTTTTTTGCGATTTTTAAATTTTGAATGAGTTTTTTTCCAATTTTTGTAACTTTGAGGTTAATTTCGTCAAATTTTAAATTTTTAGGTGCCTGAGAGTAATATCTTAAATTCATCTTTTATTGTTTGCAAATTTTTTGAATTTTAGGGTGGTTTTTCTTAATTTAAACTTTTGAGGGTGTTTCTATAATTTTGAGACATTAGGAGTGTTAACCGAAAATTTTAAATTCTTCAGAGGCTGTTGTTAATATTTTGATTTCATGTTTGTTGTTTTAAGTTTTGAAATGTCAGAAATTTTCAGGTGCATTATGGTAATCCCTTGAATTCATCTATGCTGTTTGCAAGTTTTAAAATTTTAGAATTTCAGGTGTTTGTTTGTAATTTAAACTTTTAAGGGTGTTTTTATAATTTTTGAGACATTGAGGTGTTAATCACAAATTTTAATTTCTTTACAAATTACTGTTAATTTCTTGATTTCATATTTGTTGTTTTAAGTTTTGAGACATTGGGATGGTTTTTATAAATTTTAAACTTTTCAGGGTATTTTGTGCAATTTGAAAACTTTTAGAGTTTGTTTATAATACTTTATGTATTATAGTACGTTAGCTACATATAATTTCTTTATCTTAACAAACTAATACCATAACGATGTTTTATATGTTTTATTAATATTATTTTTTAAATTGTTAAGCTATAGATAGTTCACGTAGGATTATGATATGATATAATTATGTAGAATAGATTAAGATAGGACAAATTTTAAAAAAGACCATTTTTTAATATTAATAAGCAAAATCGACCACTTAGAATTTTATTCAGCAAAATCGACTGCACAGCATGCAGTTCTACCAAAAAAACAAAAAACCCAAGGGGCGGGGGCGACGGGGAAGCGAGAGTAGGCGAGGGCGCCGTGGCAGCCAGGGAGGGACATCCAGCCAAAGCCCTGAACGACGGGGGGACGTCGAAGGAGGAGAGCTCGAAGAGGTGGGGGAGGGCCTCGGAGGCGGCGTGGAGGGTCTCGTAGAAGGCGCGGGACCCGTTGATGGCTGGGGGTTTGCCAAAAATCCCAAAGTCTATGTCTAACACGCATTGCCGGTTAGTCTTTGACCGTAAAAAGGATAAAAGACTGCATATTCAACATTGTGGCAGGTTGTTATTAATAACACCATAATCCGTGCCTCACACGCACGAGGAATTTTATCCTGAAGCCTAAGCAGGGATAAGTCAACGCCTAACACGCGTTGCCGGTTTAGTCTTTTACCGATTGAAGAAGACACCAGAATCCGAGTCTGGGGATTTTTATCCTGAATCCTAAGTAAGGATAAGTCAGTGCCTAACACGCGTTGCCGGGTAGTCTATTCCCGTGAGAAAGACGAAGTCTACGTATTCAATGTCGTAGCATTAAAAGAGTTAACTCTTTTAGCACAACGTTATGTGCAGAACGGATCTAAATAATCTGCATGCTAGCCCGACTCAAACGGTAGTCGGTAAAGGCTCATCAAACCCGTTGATGGCTGAGAATTTGCCAAAAATTCTATAAGTGCGAGTCATTGATGCATCAGCTCTGTTAGTTGGTCTCGTGACTCGATTATCCAACAACATTAAAATAAGATCCACAAATGCAGATGAATCAGCTTTAACAGTTGGTCCTGCAACCCCGACACTTGGGACCGCTGTGCTCCAATACCTTAAGAGCTTAAACTGTGTATACTCTAGTAAACGTACGAGTATAAAAGTCAACGTTCGACGTTCGAAACCCTAGGGTCAACGCCGGTCAACGCATAACCCTAGGTCAACGCCAGTCAACGCGTTGCGACCAAAAAGTCAACGTTCGACGTTCGAAACCCTAGGGTCGACGCCGGTCAACGCGTAACCCTAGGTCAACGCCAGTCAACGCGTTGCGACCAAAAAGTCAACGTTCGACGTTCGAAACCCTAGGGTCAACGCCGGTCAACGCCAGTCAACGCGTTGTGACCAAAAGTCAACATACGATAATCTGAAACCTTAAGTCAGCACAATATGACAGAGATAGTCAATTCAAAGTCAACTCAATGACACGAGCCAAACTCAACTCACTAGTGATAGACTCGAGATTCCGACGACGGCCAGGCGATAAACGCAGCGCCGGAAGAACTTTAGTTATTCGTCAAAGCATCGAATAGACCGAAAATCGAAGGAGCCAAGAGTTGAAGCTAACTACAGGTCCTTTACGCCGACTGAAGGCTGGATCAATCACATCCAAAGTATTCCAGCCTCTTCTATAAAAGAAACGAGTCTGTAACGTTTTGGAGGGGGTATCTGTAGGCATCGAAAATTGCCTATGGGTCTCCACAAACAGCTCAGTGTTAAAGAACGACAATGAACATCACTATCTGGTTCACAGGAGTTCGACTGATGTCAGTGAACGCTTGAAGTGAACCGACGAACTACGTGAGCTGATAGGATTTCAGAATAATCATATCGTCTCAACATCATGGCAATGTGCTTGCTACCGCATGTTTCATGTGCTAACCTTTTATGGGTTGCTTTGATGCACATATTCTTGTCTCAACATCATGGCAATATGCTTGCTACCGCATGTTTCATGTGCTAACCTTTTATGGGTTGCTTTGATGCACATATTCTTGTTTGTCGTTGTTACTACATTTTCTTCTAGAAATGCCTATCCTGCTCCTCTATCTACTTCTTCTTCATCTACTGCATAGTTACTAAAATCTACATTCCTAATACACACACACACATGGTGGATTCGGAAGAAACTTCCTTAAAGGGGCCGGTTGACAAAAACTATCCATTTACCCCAAAAAATTAAATTATAAATTGTAAAGCTACATTCTTGACTAATGAGCTAAATCTCAAACTGGGTGCAAACATTTTTAAATTATGGGGGGCCAAAGTGTAAATTTTCAATGCCTTGGAATGTGATTTTCTAAATCTTAGGGGTGCAATTGCCCCCACAAGTGCATATGTGCATCCGCCTTTGCATACGTTGAAACTGAAAGTCTGTATAAGGACGATACTTCTGACATGTGATGAATGCCACCGCCCAAATAGGAAATGGGGGAGGAGAAAACCTCTTTGTATTCGGATAATCTAAGTGGTCTCTGAGTGTAAATTAAATATTGCGTTAAAATCTTGAAGCATGCGTTCAGCCTTCTCTGACCACCAGCGAAGAATGAAGCTGTGCTTATCATATTGTTAGGCGGTCATGATCAGAAATCCTCTACCAAGTAGTTTTCAAAGGTCATATTAAGCAAAATAGATTCATACTAGAAATCCGGTTGCACATGCTATACTTAGCTTGACAAGAGTCCTATAAACTGCTGATTTAGCAATTAGCTCTTGGTCACAGCTTTAGTAGGAGTAGATTTTCAGCTAAAGAAATTGGACAAGTTGGTGCCTTTTAAGATCTACCTTGGTTAGACAACCCATGCTGTTTCCAGATGGCAGATATCTAAAATAGCGTGTGAAGGTTGCATGCTAAATGATTGAAGGTGACTGTTAGTGAGATGATTATATTTAGAGTTGATTATATTTAATGTCCTTCGTGTTCATGCCCCTTCCTTTTGCGTCAACCAGCTGAGTTTATGTTTCTGTTTCTTCTATTTGATTGCCATTCACACACTATTATTTCAGAAAGATACATGGAATTTTGTATCTGATATTGTTTGACTCAGTTATCTAGAGTAGATCAGTATCCATAATCTTTTTGTTGGAGACTAACCTAGCTTCAATGTGTTATCTGAAAACTAAGATATGGTTGAAGATCATGGAGCTGAGATTGTCAAGGAAAATGCATCTTTAGTGGATTCATCCTTGACTGAATGCAAACATGATTTGCAGAATTGCGATGGTCCAGGTGTGTTGCCAATTATTGTTATGAATCTCTTGCCATTTGGTCTTCTTCTATTATTTATTTGCTTTTGAATCAGCACAAAGAGACACATATGTAGTGTCTGTGTGGGGGTGCACACGCCTTATGTCTTTCTATAAGTATAGTAATATCCATGTCCAAGTCTGTATCTATATCTACATTTGAGTTCATATTTTCATTTATATCCATATATAAATTTTAAATTAAGTAAAAACTATTTCCTTGTATCTTTGACTATTATGCATTTGAGGCCAGCAATTCTGAGCTTGTTTTATCTTGGCAGAAAGTTCAATCAACAAGAATAATGGAGATTGCAACTGTGACAAAGAAGAACAAGTGTACCCTTCTTGTGATGTGGTTCGTTCTAGTCACATGACAAATAATAAGCTGTACACAAGATATTTTGTCATAAAGAGTTTGAGCCATCAAAACATTCAATTGTCTGTTGAGAAAGGCATTTGGGCAACTCAAATAATGAACGAACCTATTCTGGAGGAGGCGTTTCATGTATGGAAACATATTATTCATATTTTGTTAACTATCACTCTGCAACATAGACTGATTTGTCCTTGTCTTGCAGAACTCAGATAGGGTAATTCTTATATTCAGTGTCAACATGAGTGGCTTTTTCCAAGGGTATGCGCAGATGATGTCTTCTGTGAGCTGGAAACGGGACAATGTCTGGAGTAAATCTAGTGGGGGAAGTAATCCATGGGGCCGTAGTTTTAAAGTCAAATGGTTACAATTAAGTGACTTGCCATTTCAAAAGACTCTTCATCTGAAGAATCCGTTAAATGACTACAAGCCTGTTAAAATTAGCAGGGATTGCCAGGTATTGCGTCGATACGATATACCTAGAAGATATGATAGTTTTGCCAGTTAAATAAAGTTTTTCATGCCATTGCTTTCTATAGGAGTTATCTGCAGATATTGGTGAAGCTCTTTGTGAGCTGTTTGATGGAGAAGTAGACACCAAAGGCAGATTGAAAAGGTCCTAATAAAGCTAAATATGGTGGTTCATTTGTTTTACTCTGTTTGCCCTCAAGACTGTTAATGAAATGCTCTGATGCAGGGCCAATTCTTTTATGGATGATGGTCTCCCAAAGAGATCTTGCAGAAGTTCTCCTATTAATTTTGAAAGTCAAGATAGTATGCTTTCTGAACCTTCATTACATATGAGATGGGCAGGTCCAACAATGTTACATCCTTCTTTACTGTATCAACATGTTCAACATGAAGAAAACACCCACCACACTATGCTGGGAAGATCACAGAGGCTTTCTTTTCATCAAAACTCATATTTCTATATGGATCCAGAAAACAGTTTATGTAAGAAACAACCTTCTCTTAACAAACATATGAATAAGGGACCAGGACAAAGAAATGAATTTTTGGAGTCAATCAGGAAGGATACACCTCTTGAAGAAAATCTTGATGTATCATTGACTGAAGAGGATTTTCTCTCAATGGTATTACAATGCTATCATAGTTTCCTTTTTCATTTATTTATCAGACATCAGCAGTATTATCATCCATTAATTAATTTCTATTCGTTTGCCTTGAAAATTTTCTATGCAGTAAGGAATGTCTATTTTGTAATTATTCCCTATAATATTTCTATCCGATGGAACATTGTTTTCTTATGATTCATATAATGAATAGAATACTGCTTCCATAAGACACTTTTATCCATTAGAAAATTTCCTTTGTGCACTATATATAACTTGCAGTTAGAGATGTTACTTTTATTTACATGCAAAATGGTTGGGGGCAAAATGCATAAATACATAACCTGCAAAATTGTCGTAACTTCGTCATTTATTTAAACTTAATGTTCGTAGCTTCTTGCATCACCGTATCAAGCAAATAAAAAGTCCCTCTTTTTATTCATTCATTTGCTTTTTTCATGCAAATCCAGTAGAGTCAAGAAGTTAGAATTGTGATATTGAATTTGGAGGGAAACAAGACAAACCATAAGAGGTGATATTGTGATTTTAATTGTTTTTTATTTGAAGATCATGAGAGAGATGGAGGGAGTATCGGCCAAGGAGAAAGAGGAGAATGGGTTCGCGTGATTAACCATCAGGCCGGGGTTCTGGAATAGGAGTGGGCAGAAATTGCAGTATCAAAAAAACGGGGTGAGAAGATAGACGAAAGGGAAAAGAAATGAAAAGAAGATAAATACTATGGTAGTGCCAGACACTTCCGCTTATGCCTAGTCGGCTGGGATGAGTGACAAGATAGACAAAGGCCAAGGAGAAGGGATGTTACTTGTGATTGGGCTTTTTTTGGGGGAGATGGCGGACATAGGTACTGATCAAGGTTTTAAATATCGGTTATCAGAGATTTATCCGACGGTCAAAATCCATATGGGATGGCGGATATCGGGGATATATCGGGGATAAGTAGTATTTATCGGAGTGATATTACCAGATAGTGTATATACATATTATAATATCCTAAAATGTAATCTAACTATACTTAATAAAATATAAATATACTAAAATACACATAATCATGTTTAGGATCACTAACCAATGACAGAAACTTGCTTCTTGATTGCACGATGAAACCATTCGATGCATAGTTAGTAAAAATAAAATAACATACAAGCAAATAACAAGATAACATAAAGAATGGAGAAACATCAACATAATTATTGTATAATCACGAGATTATAAACTAACTTACTAAGTTGAGATTTAATAGTTATGAGCTATGCCAATATTCATAAATAAACATGAGCTAATCACTAAACAACCAGGTTCCAAAAGCAACAAATAATTTATAATTCTTAAACATCAAGAGAGCAAACCCAAAACCAAATCAAAGGTAAATAATTCCGATATTTTGAGCTGACAATATCGGCTGATAACTCATTTTTATCGCCGCATTATCACTAATAAACATTCAAAAAAGATAACCAATTTAAAATCAAACTTATCATAGCAGAAGGCCCTCAAAACCGATAAATCACTGATAATATCGGTTTATCGACCAATATTTGAAACACTGGGACTGATAGTCTGATACTATACTAATATTGAGAAATATGGATATGACTATACTTTGTTAACGTTAGGTAATGCCGCAACACAATATGATATTACTAACAAAAAGATATTATCTTCTTTTGAGGTCTAAGATATGATACAAGTACAACGAGGATATTAAATTTCTTGAAAGTACTAGTAAACTTGGTAAAAGGGAGAAATAGAGACCCCAATTCATGTTTCAGTTAGCATTGGCTTAAAAAATAAACTGGAAATTATGCAGGAAGATTGAATGTTGGCAAGAGCTCGTGCAAAAATCCTCAATGCACGGAAGGTCTTATTATTGTATAACTTGTTGAAGCTCTTCCTGCCAGTATTTGGCAGCATCATGTACATCCAGGATAGGTCTTACAAGGGATGTAGCCAACATTTATCTATTGAGTATCAGAGTATATGTGATAGACAAAAATGACATATCTTTAACTATCAAATATCGTGGAAGTATCAGACGGCGAAAATCCATATTGGATTGCGGAAATCGGGAATATATCGAGTATTTATAATAAATATTAGTATGTCATATCGGATGATCATACATAATATAACATTCTAATATGTAATCTAAATATATTTAATGAATGCTAAACATATGATAACGATTGTAGAAACTCAGACCTGGGGGGACTCACGGAAAAGAGAGGCTGGAGAGATACAAAGGAGAGAGAGGGTGGAGAGAAAGAGTGGGGCAGAGAGGAAGAGAGAGTGAGAGAGGGTGAGGACAGAGAAGAGAGAGGGCGGAGAGGGAGACCTGTGCTAGTGTTTGAGGCGAGCATAGAGAGGATAACAAAGAGGGCTAGGGTTTTGAGATCGATTCCGAAGTGAAGGGAATTTGGGCACATGAGAGGTTGGATAGGGTTTTATTCAGATTTAGGATTGCGTTAGGAGCACAAAACCAAACCCGAGCACAAAACCAAACCCGAGCACAAACACACCCCTTTTACGAGAAAAAAAATCAATATTGCCAATATTTTCACACTGAATTATCGACCGATATTTTCACACTAAGATATCGATCAAATCCCAATTTATCCGGATATTTCGGGAAAAAAATCTCAAAATCGAAAAATGTCATAAAAGTGCAAATATCACGCAGGATGTTGTCGAAACTAATATATCGATATACCGACCAATATTTAAGGTGGGGGGATAATTTCTATATGGACAACAGGTCATGGTTCAGTTTCATTGACAGAGAACCTAAGTGAAAGCAGTTATGTATTTATCTACCAAGTGGGCTGTGTAAGGTTCCTCTGACTTGTAAGAGACAGATCACATGTTTATCAAGTAATCCAACAATCATTTGACATTGGGGAAAAAAAGATCTATGAAGTCTTTAACTCTCTATCTAATTTATGATCATAGATTTGTCATTGTGCTTTGAGATTGTGGACGTAGATAACAATATGCTGATTGTCATGTCGCTATGACTTTGTAGTTTTTATCATACAGATATCTATTGATCTCCAATGTCTATTTCATGTACAAGAGAGCAAGCATAGTCAGGTTTTGGTGGTAGTTTCTAAGTTATCAAATAGTTGTTACCGAATGAAGGATTTCTATGACATCCAAATGCAGTATGCAAGGAACCAGATTTAGGTTCTAGTCATTTAGCTAGTCATTCTGACAATGACTGGTGTTCCTTATCTGAGCAAGATCCTTACGTAGTAATATAAAACTGACTAAAGAAAGTCGCATTCTAAGTTATGGAAATTGTATGCTATTCCTTGCATGTGATCCCATGTGACTATGTCATAATCGAGAAGCAGAGGCTATATTCTCTGGAGAAACTTGTTATTATTTCTTCGCTAAAGTTCTCCCTTTATGCATAATCCACATTCCACACTTGTCTTTCAAGGTTACGAACTTTAAAAAAGCATGTTCTTATTCTGTTGTGAAAGCCACCTCAGTTGATAGGATTGCCCCTGTAATGACTTATTTCCGTCTTGCTATAAGCTTTCAAGAATATTCTTTGCTAACGCAGCGATACACATTGCTACTTCAACAATCCAAGCAGAAGAAAGGATTATTCTGTGTGAACTGAAGGATATTTTTTTGGGAAATTGAGTTTATGCTATTCCGTGAATTCTCTCCTAATATTTTCTCCATTTCTTTAGGTCGTTGCAAAAATTTGTTATTCCCCACTATTTATTCCTTAACCCCTTTATACCATCAATATGAAATAGTCTACTATAGAATCTTTTTAGTGTAATTATCTTTGTGTTATAAAGTTTTCGATATTGACTGAAATTTCAACTAGGATTCCAGTGGCTCAAAGAAATGGAAGAACAATAGAGGTAAAAAGAATTTTTGGGGCCTGAACAATAATTTCCCAATATTTTCACATGTTTGATTTCTTATGTTTCAAATTCTAAAAAAATATATAAATAAAGAAATGCCATCTTAATCATAATCACATTCGCACTAGTAAGAGGAAGATAGATCAAAATGCCTAAAAATATTATAATCTGAACTTCAAGGTGGTTTCGCGGGTATGCATGGATCATTTAGGACCATGAGTTCTACATTAACACTCCAACACCATAAGTAATAAAACTATGGAAATATTCACGCTCTGTTACACTATCGGAGCTTTGTGTGCAAAGATACTCTGTAAGCTATACTGAATTAGGTCTTGTAGGCGCTAAAAAATGCTAAGAAACAAAACACGATCGAACCTTGCTTCAGACATGATGAGGGTCGGCATCAGGACGAATCTCATCTTAGCCAACAAGCTCATCATTTAAAACGAAGTTCGTCGTTGAAGACGAAATTCGCTTGTAGACGAAAACCCTCTAGAAGACGAAGTCCATCCGTAGACGAACCTCAGCAAACAGTGTCTAATGTCTCAGAGAACAAAGCTTGAAGACGAAGCTCGTTAGTGAAGACGATGTTCGTCAGAAGAAGTTCATAAGGCTTGCCACGTAGCTAGACTTGGCCATCGAAGGATGAAGCTCGTCAGTGAAGATGAAGCTTCTTCAAAGGAAAAAGCTCGCCTCATAGCAGAGCTTGCTTTAACAGACGAACCTCGCTGCGCATCAATGCTCGTCTCATCAGACGAACCTCGCCAAACAGAAAGGCTCGTCTCGCTAATTGAAGCTCAACTGTAACGGTCTTGAAGACCCAGTCAACCCACGTGGGCTAAATCTAAGGAGTCAGTTACGCCATGACCCCACGATTTTAGCGCATCAGTTACGCGCTAAGGCTTATAAATAGCCATGAGCAGCTATGAAAAATGCTAACTTTGGACAGCGCACACGCAAGAGACACACGAGAGCTAGAACTCAAACTGTGAGATGCTCTTTTTAGATCTTAACTTTGGTTCTTAAGATTTAAAGTCAGACGGGCAACCGTCTAAGACCGATAGCAGTCACCGACGACGACTCAAGCACCCGATAGAGATTTTGTTCTGATCGTCA